GAGCACTATGAGGTTTTTATGATTGTTCTCAATAAAGACATGAAGGATCAGAATGGTTTTTGTGTTATTATTTTAGGTACATTATATTTGTCTCTTGACTTAGATGATGGTCAGATCACATTTTATGACAAATTAAGGCAGAACACCATGAAATTCCAAAAGGTTCACATACTTTTTCTTGCAACTGTATATAAATAAAATATAAATTTATATATCCTTTTTGAAGTTCACTAAATGAACCTGAATTCTCTCTGCATCACCTTCACATGGTTTATCATAAACTGCAGCAGACCCACCCAGATCATCATGAGTACCTGAGAGGAAGAAAATATGCTTTAATGAAAGGGACTATCATGCTAGCAAAGTGGATGCTCAACTGTTCTATCATAGCTAGTGTTCTGTCTAACTTACTCTTCTCACAAGTTAGGATTCTGCAACAGTTTGCTCTGAACCTTTTACACAGTCAGGCACTGAAACTACTCACATTGCAATCTGAAGTTGAAAACTGGGTTAGCAGGAAAGGAGCAACTTAGACCTTGTCCTACTTCTTTGTTCAGAATCTCTTTCTCCAGCTCCTTTTGCCTCTGTGAGAGAAAAGATATGGGTGTTTGTATCCTCTCCTTTACAAAGGCAGAAGGGAACATGAAAAAGACATTGTGATTGACAGAAAGCAACAAGGTGCAAAGAAAAAGGAATAGCGTGTAGGTCCTCCCTGGAAAGACAAATGAACAACCGGCAAGAAATTTTATTATATTCTAATATTTCTTACCTTCGGTGGATTTAGGTTTATATACATCTTTTCCAAAAAGGACATTATGATACAAAAAAGCAACGAAATCAGCACGATAACTCCAGCTGCTATAAACCAGGAGATGCTGCAAAAATAGCACAAGCTTTCTGTCGAGGTACACACAACTACATGAATGGCACTCCACACTAGGAGCATCAAGTAGAACAGCAGAGAACACAGTGGGGAGAAAGGCACCTCAAATTCAGCCTTGCTGTTCAGAGCTTTTGGAATGCTTAGTAAGAGTAACAACAGCACCTATGGGGGAAAAAGAGGAGACAGTCAAAATCTAGTCTACAATTCAACAAGCGGCAGAGATTACACATTATCTCACATTATAGGTAGTGTGCAGCATGACTCAGCCATTTTCCTAATCATCCAGCAAACCAAGCAGACCCATTAACATGTAACAGTTAACTATCTATTGCTTATTATTAAGTTTTTTACATACCTCTATAGTATCTTGCAGCTAAATTACAAGCAAATTTGTGGCTTCAGTGTGGTAGTGAATGCAGCTCACATGTGTATTGGGGGGGGGGATACCTTTCACCACCACACTGGAAATGTCTAGATGGAAGCCAGTGACAATTACACACTCTTGTTGGGCTAAGAAACCCTAGGGATGGGTTAATTGTAGCAGCTAGTACCTTGTTAGTATGTGTAAGTTAGATGGTCCCTTGGTGGTGGTGAGATTCTGGAAGATTCCCTTAACCTTGCCCTTTTTTGTGGCCCGTTATCCTTCCTTCATCCCTCCCTCATGGAATAATTACATAGAATAACATCTTTTCTCGTACCTCTTGTGAACACTGGTATTGTTTGAACTGTAAGTAAAATGCATGATTGCTTATATGAAGATGATTTAATTCATTAAGAGGGCCAATTGCCTCAAGAAGGGAGAAAGAAAGGAGAGAAATGAAGATAAAAAGCAGAGATGAGATCAGTCACTGTAAAAGTAATAATCACAGGACTGTCCAATAATTTCTATTCTTTACCATGCCTTTTTCTGCATAGAATAACTCATACTACACAATAGTTCTCTGCCAAGTTCAGAGACAAAAAGGTATCTAGAGTGACCCCATGGCTTCTGGCTAAAATGTCCCAACCTAAATCTAATCAGACAGCTTTGTGTTAAGCTTGACTCAGAGTGTAAACAGCATAAAAATGTGCAAATAAAGTAACAGAGCTAATGTGCTGCTTTAACAAAGAAGAGATTCAGTATCTCCTCCAGGGATGATATAATTCCCACCCTGCAGCTGTTCTTCAAATCGCTGAAAAACTGGCTCTGCTTTCAGACATGGGGTTATAGTGGCTGTTGATCCTTTTAGTTTTCTTTTGAGATGCTGGCTTCTTTGTTCCAAACATACATGTCTTTTTTCTTTCAGTTTACTGTTTCCTGCTTTTGGAGATGGAAGCCACCTAGAGACACTAGGTGTCAGGCAGCCTCTAAGAGAGGGAGGGAGAGAGGGAGGGAGGGAGGGAGGGAGGAAGGAAGGAAGGAAGGAAGGAAGGAAGGAAGGAAGGAAGGAAGGAAGGAAGGAAGGAAGGAAAAGAATCAGCCCATACCTTCAGAACAATCACTGTTCCTATTAACATTGAATATATGTCATACTGGGCCACTTGCTTGCTTAAAGAAGAGCTCAGGTTCTTGAGAGCTTCCAAATATTGGTTTACGATTTTTTTGCCCAAACTCTTGCCAACATCTGAACTACTGCTCTGCGAGTAGAACTGGATCCAATTCCCATGAGATTTTTCTGCCTTCAAAAACATTTCCAATCCAGGATCTAATAATAAGAGACAGCGAAGCAGATAGAACATTATATTTTAACATAAATTTTAATAGTGCCTTGGTAACCATAAGTTTAAACTAAAGCTTCCTACATAATGTTTAACCAGTTGTTTTTCTCAATTTATGGCTAGTAGAACAAACAACAGTGGACTAGATCACCCATAGCCCCAAACTCTAATTGAGGGTTAGCTACCTTCCCAGGTAGTCCTTGCTTACTGATGGCAATTTGAACTCGGAATTCCATCGCTAAGCAATATGGTCATAAGGCATAATGGCACATTTTGGCAGTCCCAGTTGCGCTGTTAGATGAATCCCGCGTGATAGCAGCATCCTGCAATCACACAATCACCATTTGCAATCTCCTGCTGGCTATCCCATTGACCTTGCTTCTCGGAAGCCAGCAGTGAAGGTTGCAAATGACGGTCACATGACTACGGGACACTGCAATGTCATAATTGCAAGCCAATACCCAAGTGCCTGAATCGCAATCATGTGACCATGAGGACGCTGTGATGGCCACAACTATGAGGATCTGTTGTAAGTCCCCCTCGTTCAGTGCTGCTGAATGGCGGTCGCTGGATGAGTGGACGTTAAGCGAGGACTACCTGTATTGTATAATTTTGTGTGATGAAGCAAATGCTAAAAAATGTGGAGTGCTGCTGGCTATCCCCATACAATGATGCAAAAGATACTGCAGCCAAGATTAGAATGAAACTAGAATTATTCCTATTGGGCCTTATGGATAAGGAATTAGGAAAAAAATGGAAAATTAATATTTATATGGTAATTGTGATGAGATTATTATATACAATAAATTGGAAATGCAATGAAATACCAACAGTGGAAGACTGGATTATAAAATTAACTTAACTTGCAAAAATGGCAAAGCTGACCAACTTGCTCAGAGAAAAAACAACAACAAAAGATTTTTCTGAAAGATTGGAAACCTTGTATGGACTTTTTGTTGAAAGACTGAATTGATGGTTTCAGGATTTGGGGACTAAAAAGGCATGAAGAGGATGGGGAAAAGATTAAGAGGATAATTACTCAATAGAGAGAGGGGCAGAAGGCATAATTCTAAGTTTTCTTTTTTCTTTTCCTTTCTTTTTTCTATTTTTTTTTTCTTTCTATCTTTTTGTTTGTTCAACTCATGAAATATTGACATTACAAGATTTTTGCCAAAGACAGATACTTTACCTAACAGAGTTTTCTGGCGACTGCTTAGGGATGCCATATTGTAAACCTGAATCATAACGGGTGCATTCATATATTGCAACTAAACTCAAAACATGACAGCTTTATGTAATTTGAAAACAAAGTCACTCTTCAGAAGGAAGACATGTTAAGTACATGCCCACCCTATTTATGGTTAATGTTGATAGGACATTTTTACCTCCACGTTGAATTCCAGCTTTGTTTCATTCATATTTAACATCAACATCTAATTAGCTATAAAGCCAGTTACTACTTTTGGTCTTTTTCCCTTCATTCACTTATAAACAAACTGCTTGTTGATTTCCAGAACGTTATTTCCTTTCTTCATAATAAATGGATTGTTCATATGGGAAAATAAAAATATCCTAATTACCAGAACATACTGAACTTACTTGCCTTTCTCAAATGCAGGGACATTCTCTTGAAGAAGTTTGCTGAGCTGCATACAATTCCAATGCAAGAACCTTAGCTGTTCTCTAAGTGTCTTCCACTGTATAACAGGAAACAGAAGCTTCCCAACACTGTTTCTTGAAATTGACAAGCCAAGTCCTAATGCTAATGTGACAGCAATGTCAGTCTGTTGAATAAGTTCTGGGCGCCCTGGGGGACCTAAAGAGAGAAAGAAAATATTGGTTAAGGTTTATCTATTTCACATTCCCCAAAATATAATTTACTGAAGAGATGCTCTCCCATAAGCATTTTCCTCTTTGTGTGCTGCAGTCCAAAGTAACAGCTGACGTTTCTCCTCATTATTTCTTTTCACAGGAAGATTCAGCAATTATCCACAGGACCTCAAGGACTGTGAAATTTTGAACACTCCCCCTGCCACCTTCATGCTACCTCACATAGATTTCTAAAGTTACTTCTGTTTCTAAGTACAGTGGTACCTCGGTTCACGAACTTAATTCGTTCCGCGACTCTGGTCGCGAACCAAATCCAATTTTCCCATAAGGTTCAATGTAAATACGGTTAATCGGTTCTGACCCCTCCGAATTTGGTCGCCAACCGATTTTTGATCACGTCCCGAATCAAATTTCCCCATAAGTTCAATGTAATTACGGTTAATCCGTTCTGACCCCTCCGAATTTGGTCGCCAACCGATTTTTGATCACGTCCCGAATCAAATTTCCCCATAAGTTCAATGTAATTACGGTTAATCCGTTCTGACCCCTCCGAATTTGGTCGCCAACCGATTTTTGATCACGTCCCGAATCAAATTTCCCCATAAGTTCAATGTAATTACGGTTAATCCGTTCTGAACCATGTTTTTTTTTAAAAAACCGCAAAAATATGACACAAAGTACAGTACGAAGAGAGAGAAAGCTAACCTTGCTCGACGCGACTTCTGGCGTGGAGGACAGGAAGGCGGGTGGGGAGGTGGATATTGCTTGGAGGGAGAGTCCCCCTCCCTACAGGAAGCCGCGACCACGTGTCACGGGAGGGAAAATGGCCGCGGATCCTGTTCGTAACCCGATCCGGCGTTCGTGAACGGAGGCAAAATTTTGCGAAAGGTGCTGTTCATGACCCAAATTGGTCGTGAACAGAAGCGTTCGTGAACCGAGGTACCACTGTAATTGGATTGATGACACAAGGAGGTGGGAAACCAGAAGGCATCCAGGGTGTGTATTTCTTTTAAAAGATTTGAATTTATATTTCTGCTTGCAGTTCTTTTGAGAAAGAACTGACTCACTTAGCTTTAACAATATCACAACACAGTGCGCTATTCTTTGGACATCACTTTCTACCTTTAGCCATAAAACAGAGGCAGGCCTGCTATGCATTAAAATATTAACATACTGATTGTTTCTGGAGTTATGAAGAGCCCATTCAGCAGATACATTAAGTCAGTTGCAACTTCTCCAGAAGAAAATATCCCAGGCCAGATTTTCACATTGTTAAACTTGTTTCTGGACTACAGTACTTCTGATTGTCTGGGACCACATACAAGACTGAATTTAAAAAAAATCCAACCACAGAAAAGGGACAAGGATACTGATGTAGATGTGTTTCCAATATCTAGTTTTTTTTAAAAAACAACAACAACTAGAAAATAGATTTTCTTGGCATTATGGAAGATTCTACCATGTGAACCACCCTCCCCCGCTCTTGCAGTCTGAAATGGTAGAGCCAGATTCAGCAATCTACATTTTTACGGCAACTGAACAAAGACATTTCTTAACTCAGCCTATCATGCTGATAAAAGAGAAACTCAGTTCTTACCAACTGTCCTCTGAAAAGCAGAGCTGACCAAAAGCAAAGGGGTACGAATTTCACCTTCTGAGGAACCACCATGACTTCCCGTTTCAGACATGCCATGGTCACCACAAACAACAAGTAAACTGGGCAAAGTGCCTTTCTCCCAATCCTGAAGGGGAAGAAATCTTCAAAGCTTTAATGGACTATTTTTAACATTTCATTATTAAATCTGTTTCTTCATCTCGCAGATTTGAGCCAAAAAGATTAGGATTTTCAAGAATGATTGCCACACTCTCAAGTAAACTGATAAAAGACACCACAGCAACAACCTCCCCCAATCTTTGTTAGGAATATACGATCAATATTTCATGCAGCACCATTGATTTATATAAAAATCTGTATCCCACCTTACTAGTATTTTCACAATCTTCAAGCTGGCTAAGCAGAATGCATTTCAGACGTGCCAAGTTTCTACAGACAAATATGCATTCAGAGATATGCTTCTGTAGATTCCTTGTATTATATGCATTAATACTATATTAATGCAAAACTAAGAGGAGTTCCTATCAGGTTCCCAATGTTTCCTACATTTCAAGTTTTTTTCTGATTGAAAATAAAACACCCAAGTTGTTATTAATTTTGTTCTGCTGAAATAAAGCTTATGTGCAATAATCCAACAGAACATTTCAGAGTTTGAAACAAAATACTATTTCCATCTCCAGCACATCCAATGGCCAATGTATTCAAAAAAGCAGTATCAGTGCTTTTCACTTAGTCTGCAAGTACCTGGGACTAAGAACTGGAAATGTGCCCCAATGAACACAATGTGACTTAGTCTCAATTAATCATATACTTGATCCAGCTGTAAGATAAAAAGCATCTGTAGATTGAAGTCCAAGGCTTCAGATCTACTTCCTTTTTTCATGACCAAATTCATAGTCAAAACTCAAGCATCTCACCTTAGAGAGGAGAGAATTATGAATCTTCTTGATAATGTTATCCATTTCAGAAAGCTTTGGTCCTACCAAAGGACTGTTTGGTCCACTCAGATGACCAATATGATCCAATCCTAAGTAGTGAAGAATGAGTAAATCCCAGTCATCTCTTTTCAATACGTTATTCAAATGTCTAGTAACGTTGTTGTCAACCTTAGCGAGAAAGAAAAGCAAAGATATGTTGAAGCCATTACTTATCTTGGTCATATAGTCTGCAGAATCAACTAGTAACAATTATTCTAATTATACATTTTCTGATGGAAGAGGGTATACACAATGTAATGATGTCCTGCTCAGATCAAAGCTTCCTGCAATGTTAAGGTAGCATGTTAAGGGGGAGGGTTAGGCTGAACTCATCTCTTAGATATGCTATACTGCAAACCATTCAAACATGCTGTCTTTAAGTTATAACTGTTGAAGGTTCCAGTTCCCTGAATCAGAACACAATCTGCAACCTATGAGTTTAAGATGCTGATCCTCCTGGCATTGTATGCTAACTTTAATAGATTATACCATATGAAGCACATATAATAGATTATATCAATCACATTTAAAAAGAGAGTCCAGGGAGGGACAAGAGGCACGTAGTACAGCACATGATTTGGAGACAAAAAGCCAGATGTTCCAAATCTAGCATTTCCAGTGACAAGGATCTTGCTAAATGTTATTGTCTTTGGCTGCAGCAGACAAAAAAGCTAGGCTCCTTCATCGGCCCAATTGGGGCCAAAAGCCATTTGGTTCCTCTGCCTCCCAGAACTACCTCTGCAGTGACTTCCCATTTGAACAATATGAAATATTAGGACCAAAATGGAAGACTTAATAGATATTTGGATTCTAGATTAGGAAAAGCTGCACACAAATACAAAGCACCTTGCTTCTTTTGGCAGAATAACCATGCGTAAGTCTGGTAAATAAATTATAAAAGAGCTGGGAAAGACCTGGGCCTGATCAACTGTCAGTCAAAATAAGACCGACCAATGGTACATATTATATTACCAGTGCAAAGTTCTGGAGAATTTGCCCATGTTGAAGGCTGCTTGACAAGTCTATAAACATCACATTTGGAATTAGGATAGGCAACTTTTTTAAAAAAAAATGTTTTTAATTGAACTATAATTAACAAACATCATCAG